AAATGAGGGCGAAATCTCTGGGTAGTGTCTTATCTACAAACCCATCTGCCTTCCAAATTTTACCCCGGAACTTAGTTCGTTAAAACTCCCTCGCCGAATAAAAAGAAGAGCAGGCATAGGCCGGGGCCGAATTTTTGGAGCCCACAGATTTCTGGCAACTCCGCTGGGGATTGGTTTCTCTTTCCATCTTTGGCTAGTCGTATATTTAAGCTATAGTAGCAGCAAAATTTGATGAGTTAAGAGTTAAATGTCTTTTTAATTGAACTCATTAAAAATTCTCTAAAAAGTAGATGGGGCCATGACCCTTCTTGTTGTCGGGGTTTCAGAATTTAATAGCCTTTTTCATGACCCCATCTATTGGCGAACAACTAATTCCCTTGAAGACTCACTGTATGTTACATTTCACATTGATTTATATTTCTTTTGTATTTGTTTTCTAGTGTCAGGAGCCTAGGGTGTCGTATGTTTGATTTTTTTTTTTTGTTAACTAAAAACTTTTAAGTGGATTTTAAATCTCTTTTAAATTTTCTAAGTTATAGGTTTTGCTGAAAATTTTGGAAGCACTCCGACGTCATCCCTGCGTAGGGGGCTGCATCGAAGTGTGTAAGGCCTTCCCGCCTGCCAAGAAAGGCAGTCACGGTAGGTGTCGAGTGACACCGCGGCCACAGTTCTAATCCCCGCTTGCTAACAAAAGCGGTCACGGGATCTTTGAGCACATATTTAAAGTATAGCATTTTCTCCGCCTAAAAACAGTGACGGGTACTTAATTAAATAATTTTTCTACGAATAACAAATTTTCCCGCCCGCTAAAAAAAGCGATCCCGGGTACTTAAGTTTCATGCATACGAATTTCCCCGCTCGCTCAGTGCGTCACGGGTACTTAAGTTTCCTCGTCCGCTAAAAAAAGCGGTCATGAGTACTTATTTCATGCACAGAAATGTAAAATACTAGTTTTTACTTTGGGTGCGCAGTAATTGGGGCGGCAACGTAGGATGGCGGCGACGGTGGGAGATCTGCAATGCACAATTTAAATATTTTTTTAATATTTGTGCAATTTAATTAATCATTTATGCTTTTCTTTTATTTAAAACAAAGTGTAGAGGGAGAAAGAAAGGAAGAGAGCTCTCTTTCTAGAGAGAAAGATAGGGAAAGGAAGGGAAAGAGAGGATTTTTGGTTGAAGGGGTTTAGGGTGTGTAGGAAATTGAGGGAGTGAGGTTAGAGAGAGAAAATCTCTCTTTCTCTAATTTTTGGAGAGAGAAAGAGAGAAGGAAACTCTCTTTCTAGAGAGAGAAAGAGAGGGAAAGATGGAATTTGAAGAGAATTTGCATAAAGAGGGTATAGGAGGTGCAAGGAAGTGAGAGGAGAGATTTAGAGAGAGAAAATCCCTCTCTTCTCAATTTTGGAGAGAGAAAGAGAGAGTGTAATTTTTTTCTCTCTAGGGAAGGAATTTTGAGATATGGTGGAGAGGAAAGATGCTTGGGTGGAGATGGAGCCATTCATGAAGAGATTTCACTCTCATTCTAAAGAGATAAAACTTTCTCTCTCTAGGTTAGAGAGAGAAAGTGAGGGATGGTGAAATTTTTTTATTGGATGGGTGTAGGATATGTGTAGGAACATTTTTTGTGAAGGGTAGTGAGTGGTTTGGTGAGTGAATGTGGAGATAAAAAAGAAAATAGAATTAGGATTTTTGTAGGTTTGTTGAGATTGGGGTTGAGGAAGAAGATGAAGATGAAGATGAAGGAGAGGAAGGAAAAGAGAGGGGAGGAAGAAAATGGAAGGAAATGAGAGGAAATATGGACGGATGATGAAAGAAAAAGAAAAATGGGGAAGAGGAAGAAGAGAGAAGGAAGAAGAAGAAGAAGAAGAAGAGAAGAATCATGGAGGAAGAAGAAGAAAAGAGGAAGAAGAAGAAGAAGAAGAAAGGAAGGGGGGAGGAGAAATTACCTTGGAGAGCTTGGAGGAAGAGAGGCCGGTGGCTTGGAGGCGTGAAAATGATCGTGAGTGAGGAGAGAGGGGCGGTTGGGAGATATGAGGGAATGAGGGTTTAAGTGAGGGGTAGTTTAGGTATTTTTGGGATTTTTTTATTTAGAAAAAACCTTTTTTTTATTTAAAAAGCTCTTTCTCTCCCTTTCTTTCCAAAAATTTTTTAATTATATTGCACAAAAATAAAAATAAATTTTTAATTTTGCATCAAGTTGGTCGTCGCGCCGCCGCTCGCACAAGTAGTCGTCTCGATTCGCGCGCCCAAAATTTAATTTTTCGCCGACCGGCGACCCCTACCAATATGGGTGTCGATCTTAGTTGTTTCTGTTGCTCCGGACGCATTGGCGCAGCCCGTTTCGCGAATGAAGGTCATCTCGGCGATTTTGGGTTTTCGGTCGACACGCGTCGGGTGAGTTTTTGCGCGATTTCGAGTTCTTTCGCTTTTGAAACTCATCTTGCGCAATCGACTCGATCCCAACACTAGTATTAAGGTCAACAAATTCATGAAGCCATTGCAATGGTGGAATGATGCATAGTTAGTTAGGAGATCAAAACTCAACAAGATTTTCACCCTCTTTACTTTCTCTTCTATTGTCAGCTCGTTAATTCATAATATCCCTACTGGCAACTAATCAATATATGGAAAATTCTAATTATTTAATAATTAGTTTTATTTATTTATTTCGTATTAGATTTGACTTATGTTAAGAAAGGTAGGGGTAGACCTAAAAAGACTTGGTTAGAAAATATTACGAATGACCTTTCTTTATTAGATATAAACGAGAATTTGACTTTTAATAGGACACAATGGAGAAAAAGGATTCATGTAGCCGACCCCACGTAGTGGGATAAAAGCTTGATGTTGTTGTTGTTATATATTAGATACTTTCCTAGGATTGTATAAATTATGCAAATGTTGAAATAAAATACACTCAATTGATTCTCTCTAATTTTGTCTTGGTATCAAAGCCCTAAGATTTTCTCTTTCTTGTATTTCCATTATTGCAACCTTCATCGCTACATTACAGTAAATATTTCCCCCTGATGTAGCATTCATCATTGCATTGCAACAAAATGTTTCCATTGTTGCAGCCTTCATCATTGTATTGTTGCCATTTTCTTTTCTTTTTATGTGAGCGAAACCACAATTTATTTCTACATGGACAACCATAATACCTACATACCCTTGGTCTCTGGCTTTGTTGGAATTATAGGATGCAATTTAAATTTAACGGGGAGTTTCAAAACATCCATTGAACATACTAATTGAATAAAAAAATTTATCTAAAGTGGTTGAGATTGGTTCGCAAATTCTTCAAGAGAACAAAAACTGAGACCATTTACAATGAACAAAAAGACAAAAAAAGCATGATAGAAGCACCTGAAAAAAAAAAATATCAAGTACTTATATTCGAGCATTCTCCAGAATTACCTCCTCTTCTCATGTCCTTAAAAGTTTCACAGATGCTCATTTCTAGCTCCTAAATCATTGCTTCAGAATTTACATGCCATATGAACAACTCCACTCTCAATTTTATTTCATATACCCCTAGCTTTGACAGCAAGAAAATAATAATGTTAGATGGAACCTTGTTAACCATAACCGTTCAAGGATATATTCGATAAACAAATTCACTACATTCAAAAATATCCTCCATGTACTGAAATTACTTACCGACTTGCTATTCATACAAAAGCTAACCAAGATTTCAAATGCACTATTATGTTTTATCATTCATATTATCTTTCAGGAAAAGGGGGCAAGGACGATCTTTCGGGAAAAGGGGGCAAGGACGATTTGATTGGCTAAAGAAAGGGGTATTCTTTACCACTATGAGAAATCTAATTATTAAAGAAAACTCCACATATTCTTCAGTATTATCTCTTCTTTCATAAAGACTTGAATTCAATAAAAAATATGGCTCTAACATTTACGCATTTGCCGCCCATCCTTTATTGTTCATAAAACTATAATTTCTTCAATATTCACAGAAAGCAATATCAAAGAACTTCATTATAATGTTTGTGAACTAGTAAAACATAAATGTACCAATTATCTAATGAGAGACAAAAGAACAGTTTTTCTTTTTTTTCTCTAATTCATATTGGCATCTGGGCATCATCTTCTATACCTAATATCTTTAGTGCTTAATGATTTGTGCACTTCATCAATAATTGCATGGGTGTGCCATTGAATTTATTTTTACTAAAAGCCAGAAGTAATGCAAGTACCATCATTCCCATCTTTTCTAATATGAACAAAATTAATTTGGTTCTAAAAAATAAAGTGTCAGATCGGACAAAACCAAAAACTACTTAAACTATTCTCTCTCCTCATACTTCCAAGAAAAAGAAATAATAACTTGGTATCTTGTATAGATACACAACAATAAAAGGAAAAGGATGAATGAAAGAACAATCATGCAACATAACTACGCAAAATATAATGAAGTTGGCACACACTTTATATAGGAGAAGCTGACTTTGTTACCACAGATGAACTTATTGATATTCCCATCAAAGGATTATCAAGGACAATCTTTTATAAATTATCGTGCAAGCTTGGAATGGACGACATTCATTCATTTACTCAAGGGATAGTGTCAAACGGCTACATGATTTTCACCCACTGGGAACCACACTCGCCAAGACAGCCACCATCTTTCATTCCTCTATACCACCACAATATGTGGGATCCTTACGGTGTACTCATCAATCCATAAACTACCGTAATTATTTTATAATTAATTATATTATCTGATTTCATATATTTTTTCTATTAGATACTTTCCTAGGATTGTATAAATTCTATAAACGTTGAAATGAAACACACTAAACTAATTCTCTCCAATTGGCATTAAGATTTTCTCAAAATTGAAAGATGATAGTGTCTAGGTTAATTAATTCTCGAGTCACATAGCGAGCTGGTTCTGAAATTAGCTCATCACAAAAAATTAAAATCAGTTTGACTTGCAAAGGTAAAGAGAACTTTGAGATACAAATAATGATATCATACCCAAAGTATAAGTCATATAATCTCCTCCAAAGGTGCCAACGTCTGCAAACCACACCAATTTCCTATAAACAAAACGATGTATGATTAGTTAGACAAAATTCAATAGCACTTGGCTTCAACCATGTCCTAACTACACAACTCAAAGAAACTCCAACAAAAATAAACCTGCAAAATTGCATACCTTTCCATCAACCTCTGCATAGATTGTGCTGGTTATCCACCAAAATGGCCTGCGAACCTACATCTAAAAGTAATATAGCATAAAGATGGAAAAAACTATATTGAAATTAATAAGTGGGCTATAAAAAGTTAAAAAGTTCTCTATCAACAGGGGTTAGGCTTTCTTACCCACCCTAAATATTTCATTGCCCCTAGCATCGGTTATGTACGCAATAAATGGCCGCCTTGTTCGAAGTAGCTGAAAAATTTTTATACTCATAAAACAAACTTGAGTAAAAAAATAAAACAGAATTTAAGCAGAAGAAGATAGACACCAAGGGACTAAGCTCAATACCAAAATTAGAAAGAACTTCAACACTACAAATATAGATTTGATGAAGAAAAAAGAGCTCAGAAAAGCTATTAAAAGAAACACTACCAGTATGATAAGCGAAGAAGCCCTCATGCCATTCCTATATGCACAGATCCATACACATCAATATCTAAAATGGATTTGCATGACAAGACATATGAATATCTACCTTAAAAAAAGATACATCTCCATTTCAAACACTAGTTACAATTGAAAAAAAATTGTGTTAAGTATATAATCTCCAACATATAACACATGCAACATGCCAACCAATGATGCCATATTTAGATTCAAAAAACTCCAAATGGGAACTGCTTCCAGTCACTATGCATGTTCAGCAATCATCATATGTCTAATATAAATACAGAATGACAATCACATATTCTAGATAATGCTTCAATATAAGAGAATTTCTGAAAAACTCCTACAAGTAGCTTAAAATCACAGAGCTAGGGCAAAGTTAAGGAGGTATAACACAAGTTGGTAAATAATTAAGCCACAAGGAGTAGCCTACCTGCCGTGTAAGTACATTGCTTTGTTCACGAATAAAACCCACAGGCTGGAATGAAGAACAGAAATTATCATTCCAAATACTCCAGAGATGCCAAAAGAGAAAAAAACATTTCCTCAATGAAAAATAATAAAGTAAAAAAGTATTAGAAAGCTTAATAGGAAGGAAGAACTCCACACCGACTGAGGATAGCAAGGATCCACCATTGCATATCTATTTTCCTGTGATTCAACAAAGAAATGCCCTCAATGAGCATATTAATCCAAAATAAAATCATATAATTCCTAAAACATAAAATTGATTGAGGTATTGAGAAAGAAGACGCATAAATCTCAAGTACTATCCTTATCATAGTTTAGTTATCAAATATTGGAACCACTTATCTCAAAAGAAGCATTGGATCATGAAGTGGAGAAACCATTGAATTTGAAAGCTGTATGGATTGAATGCACCTAGTCTTACACCAAATAAAGTTGAATAACAGCACAGTTAAAATTAAGGTTGTTTCATGTCACAAAAACAAAGTGTATATTTTAATCCTTACAAAATTATTGGAGATTGGAGACCAACATGGATCATTCATATCGTAGTTGCTGACTCTAGTCTTAAACAAGTCATAGATAATTGATACTCCAAAACATACTTGGTTATTAGCTTTATATATTTTGATGTATCCCTTATAAGGAGCCATTGGAGTGTAATTTTAGTAGTAATAGATCTAGTGGGGGGATTGTAACTTTGGGCAATCAAGTTATTAATAAGGGTACACATTTTAGATATATTGGGTCTATTGTTCAGAGTGATGGTGAAATAGATGGGGATATTACTAGTAAAATTCAAGTTGGATGGCTGAAGCGGAGAAATGCATCGGACATGTAGTGTGATAGAAAAGTCCTCAAACTTAAGAAAAAAATCTATAAGATGGTGGTGAGACCTGTAATGCTTTATGGTGCAGAATGTTAGCCATTAAAAAAGAAGCATAATATTAAGTTAAGTGTTGCAGAGATGAGGATGCTCGGGTTCATGAGTGGCTTTACTCTTAGAGACAGCATACGAAATGAGCAAATACGTGAAAAGGTTGGAGTAAATTCTGCGAAAGTTAATATTAGAGAGAGTTGTCTGAGATGGTTTGGTCACATAAAATGACAGCATTCCGATGACTCAGTTAGGAAAGTAGATGTATTGGATTTGACTTTTGTTAAGAAAGGTAGAGGTAGACCTAAGAAGACTTGGTTAAAAAATATAAGAAATGACCTTTCTTTATTAAATTTAAATGAGAATTTGACTCTTAACAGGACACAATAGAAAAAAAGGATTCATGTAACTAACCCCACAGTGGGATAAAAGTTTGATGATGAAGATGTTGTTGTTGTAGTCTTGTCTCAACTACCTTTGGTATGCTTATAGCTAATACACATCCACATCTTAAATACATATTACAAATATTTAAATGTGCCTATTTTGATAATATATCATGGATAAATTTCTAACAAAAATTAAATCTCATTTTAAATAAACAAACGCCATCTCAGAAAATTTAATTAACCTAGGTATCTATTAGACCGGTCCATTGGACCGGTCCAGCCGGTCCGTGCGGGACCGGCCCAGCGCAAACTGGGCGGAGAAATCTCCGCCCGCGGAGATGCCGAGCAAGCCGCACACCGTGCGGGAGCTTTTTAGGAAGCTTTTTTGAGGGTTTTGAGAGGGAAATTTGAATGTAGGGACTGTTTAGGGATTTCCTTTTGATTTGTATGCATTAAATAGTTTGTTTTCCTAGGGTTTGGGCATCTTGAATTTGGCTGAAATTTGAGATCTCTTAGATTTAGGTTTCTTTGGGCTCTAGCGGCGTCTAGAGATTTGGGAGAGATCGATCCCCCTCTCGAATTGAGGATCAATTGTATCTTTGCTAATTTCCTTGCATCTACTAGTAAAATACAAGTTTTTCCTACGATTTTCTCTCAGTTTTCTACAGTTTTTCCACTGTTTTCACTGTTCTCCTGCTCCGGACAACAGTATTTAGTGGAGATTTGCTGTAAAGGTGAATAGGAAATACTTGATTTCAAGTATTTCCTATCAGTATCATCATCATTATCACTAGTCTTAGGCTTTATACTGATGTGAAACAATCAATGGAATTGCAAGGTTTTAATAAGAAACTTGTTTTAGTAATGAAATTATAGGATTAATATTTCACTAAGTTAAGACTTTCAGTTTTCGTGGTTATCGACTTGCCTCAAGTATGCGGTCACATGTTAGATTAACAGGACGATCCGAAATAATAACAATAAATATGTGGTTAACAATAATCCGCCACTTAATAAATTGAGCTTTCACCTTAGAGTTTTTCTCTCGATCGCTCCTAGGAAATAGGGTTAACGGAGGAGGAATGTCAGCAATCCGAGTGATGCCACAGAAAGACAAAGGAGGCCGGCGAACTTGATCAATGGGAAGTTGGCCGTAGTTGGAGAGACGGGTGGTCGTCCGATGATCTTCCACCATCTTGTAGGTTGTTGTTCGTCGATAATGTCCGTTAAGTGGAAGAGAATACGCTCAACGTATTCCTTAACGGTGCCTTCGGATCCAAATCCGGGGTCGATCAATTTGCCCATGAAAATTGTAAGCAAATCCGTGATCAACTTCCGGATCTGCCATCCATGAGCGTGAGAATATCCGTGTGGTTCTTTGGTGGAGCCGCAAGTTGGGAGAGGTGGAGAGAGGCGGCGGAGAGAGAGGGGAGCCGGCGGTAAAAGGGGAGAGGAGAGGATAGGGGCGGGTAGAGCTAGGGTTTGAATGGGGGAAAGGGATTCTCAAAAAATCTGAAATTAATTCATATTAACACTGTCGTTGTTAGGTCCCAAATCCTGTATGAGAAAAGTTGAGGGTTACATTAGGTAGTCGACAGCCAGCTTAAAACTTGTCGAATAGCCTTGACATGAATCCTTTAAAAATTGTGTTAATGCTTGGGCGTCCCATGGGAGCGACGTGCTGTATGGCCTGAATACAGTGACAAGTGCGTAAGAGTCGCTGCACCGGCGCGCGAGTGTAATGTTAAATAGGCAAGGGTTCCCACATCAAGGACAGATGTGAGCAAAGAAGCTAGTCCATGAAACTAAAATTAGGATAGGAACTTGGAATATAGTCTCCCTTACAGGAAAATTAATGGAATTAATAGATATTATAATTCATAGGAAGATAAATATTCTATGTATTCAGGAAACTAAATGGGTAGGAAAGAAAGCTAAGGAGATTAATTGTTTAGGATATAAACTATGGTATTCGAGTAGGAGTCGTACCAGAAATTGTATAGGTAGGTGCGATTATAGATAAGAGTTTGAAGGATAATGTTATAAAAATTAATATAATTAGAGATATAATTATAACTTTAAAGATTATTTTTTATGCTAAGATTGTTAATATTATAAGTGTTTATGCTCATCAAATAAGCTAGGATATGAGTTCAAAATTAAAATTTTAGAATGACTTAGAACAATTAATACAAATTATACCTCTTGAAGAAAGAGTTTGTATTGGAGGAAATTTAAACGGACATGTTTGTTGAGAGGTAAATGATTTTAAAAGCATCCATAGTGGCCATGAGTTTGGAACGACAAATGAAAGTGATAAGACTATATTAAATTTTTCTTTAGCATATGATTTCTTAAGAGTTAATATCTTATTTAAGAAAAAGATGAGCATCTTATCACTTATAAAAATGGATATAGTAAAATGCAGATTGATTATTTCCTTATAAGAAAATTAGATCGTTTAGATTACAATGATTGTAAAGTTATTCCGAGTGAAAATTTATGTACCCAACATTGATTATTAGTTTTGGACTTTAAGATAAATGAGCAAAAAATAAAAAATAAAGTAAAACGATTTTCTAGGATTAGATGAGGGCATTTAAAGAATATTAACAAAAGTATTTTTGAGAGTAAGATTTTGTGCATGAGGATGTCAATATTATGCGGGAAAAAGTAACTTATGATATTAAGAATATTGCAAAAGGTGTGCTTGGAATTTCGAAGGGAAAAGCTCCTAATAGTAAAAATAGTTGGTGGTGGAATCCAAATGTGCAAGAAAAGATAAAAAATAAGATGTATTATAAAAATTGGTTTAGATGTAAAAATTTGATAATTGAAAAAGCTATAAAGAGGCTCATAAAGAATCTAAGAAAGCTATTTGCGATGCAAAGTGCTTAGCTTTTAATGATTTATATAATAGATTAGATACTAAGGAGGGAGAAAGATATATGTATAAGTTAGTCAAACAAAGAGATAGGAGTGGTAAGGATTTAGTTCAAGTGAAGTGTATTAAGGATGAAGATCAAAAAGTACTTTTCTTATAAGATATTCAACAAAGGTGTATGAGGTATTTTGATAAACTTTTTAATGAAGAATGTGTCAAAAAATGATTGACTTCATCACCCTAAATGAAAATAAAGATTTTTATTTTTATCGATGTATAAGTAAAACCGAAGTTAGAGATGCTTTAAAGAAAATGAAGTGTGAAAAAGCTATTGGACCTGATGATATTCCAATAGAGATGTGAAAATGCTTAGGAGATGAAGAAATCTTTTTGCTTACTAAATTTTTTAATACTATTTTGAAGACTAAAAAGATGTCAGATCAGTGGAGAATGAGTGCGTTAATTCCTATTTTTAAGAATAAAGGTGATGCACAGGAGTGTGCGAATTATAGAGCAATTAAGTTAATGTGACATACTTTAAAACTATGGGAGCGAATTATGGAGCATAGGTTGCGGCGTGATACTAATGTTTCTCAAAATCAATTTGGATTCATGCTGGGTAGATCTACTATGGAAGCCATACATTTTTTGAGAGGTTTGTTGGAGAAATATAGAGAGAATAAGGAGGATCTACATACGATATTTATTGATTTAGAGAAAGCATATGATAAAGTTCCAAGAGAAGTGCTATGGAGAGTTCTTGAAAAGAAAGGAGTTAATAATGCTTATATTCAAATCATTAAAGATATGTATGTAGGAGCTATTACTTGTGTTCAAACACAAGGTGGTTTGACCAAGTATTTTCCTATTTCAGGTGGATTACATCAAGGATCAGCCTTAAGTCCATATCTTTTTGCTTTAATCATTGATTTCTCACTAGACATTTGCAAGAGGATGTACCTTGGTGTATGCTTTTTGCTTATGATATTCTTCTTGTTGATAAGACTAGAGAGGGAGTTGAAGGTAAACTTGAATTATGGATGTCAACTTTAGAGTCTAAAGGTTTTCGCTTAAGTAGATCTAAAATTGAATATATTGCGTGTAATTTTAATAGCAATAGACCTAGTGAGGGGATTGTGACTTTGGGCGATCAAGTTATTAATAAGAGTACACGTTTTAGATATCTTGAATATATTGTTCAGAGTGATGGTGAAATTGATGGGGATATTATCAGCAGAATTCAAGTTGGATGGTTGAAGTGGAGGAATGCATCGAGCTTATTGTAAAATAGAAAAATCCCCCTCAAACTTAAGGGAAAATTCTATAAGATGGTGGTGAGACCTGCAACGCTTTATGGTGCCAAATGTTGGCCATTAAAAGAGAAGCATAATACTAAGTTAAGTGTTGCAGAGATGAGGATGCTTAGGTGGATGAGTGGCTTGACCCTTAGAGATAGGATACGAAATGAGCATATAAGTGAAAAGGTTAGAGTAGCTACAGTGGAAGATAAGATTATAGAGAATCGTCTTAGATGATTTGGTCACATTAAACGGAGGCCTTCTGATGACCCAGTTAGGAAAGTTGAGATATTAGATTTGACTTATGTTAAGAAAAGTAGAGGTAGACCTAACAAGACTTGGTTAGAAAATATTAGAAATGATCTTTCTTTATTAGATTTAAATGAGAATTTGACTTTTAACCGGACACAATGGCGAAAAAGGATTCATGTAGCCGACCCCACGTAGTGGGACAAAGGCTTGATGTTGTTGTTGTTGTTGGAAGGGAGGGAATAATTTGAATTTCAAATTATTCCACAACGGGAAAGGGGCGGCGGTTTAGGAGGAGATGAGGGAGATTTAATGGGGGCTATGAATTAATTAGGAGAGAGACAGGCTTAGGGATGGGTGGTTGGCCACGTGGAGAGCTAGGAGAGGTTAATTATATTAAATATGTGGGCCCCAAGGAGTTAATAGAGATTTGAAACAAATCTGAATTTAATTTCAGATTTGTTTAAATTAGGGAGGTTTCCTAATTTAAATTCTAGCCTTAGGAAAGAATTTGAATTCAATTGTTTGATTGAATTCCAATTAGAAGCTTCCCTAATTAGCTAAAACCTACTTTAGGAAAGTGATTAAAGGGCATTTGAAATTTGAATTTCAAATTTGGGAGCAATGGGATGAGGGCCGGCAATTAAACTTGTGGAGAGGGGCGGATGGGGATTTGGAGGCTGACAGCTAGGTGGGAGGTGGCCGGCAGTTAGGGCGGCCAAGGGGGTCGGTGGTGTGGGGAGGGGAGCTTCGGTTTAGGGAGGGGATGGGGCAACGGAAAGGGGAGGCAACCAGGTGATTGAGTGGGGTTGGTATGAAGGTACAAGAGAAAGAAGAAATCGAAGAACCGCGAACCTCGTAATCCACTAAGGTTGACGGGTATTGCTCTCACCCTCACCTAGGGTTTCTCCTCTCAAGAACTCACAAAGAGATCAAGCAAGAATAGTGGAATTATCATTCATCATCATCATTATTAAATAATACAATGACTAGGCCTTAATATATAGGCCTCCAAAAGCACAAAAATGTAAAAGACACAAATGCCCTCAGGCTACAACATGAAACAAATCCCTCATAGGGGTGTGGAAAACTGATAAATAAATAAAAAGAAATGCACTAAAACATCATAAATAGAGACTATGAATCATAGCCGTCGATCTACGATTCCTCCGATGGTAAGTACGTCGAAATCTCTTATGGATGTCCTCATCATATACCTTCTCAAATACAATTAGTACACTAAATTATCACGCCATGCTATGCAATCATTTCCCATTTTTGATATCACAAGCCACGGAGATGGATTCAAAGCTTTCATCTTGTTCCCCCTACACAGCACCTAAACCACAAGGCATCCTTCTCAACTACATGGCCACATAACAACACTTCTATCAAAACATTTATGGTACTTATAGGACCAAAGCAAATGAATCTTAATTCCAATTTCTATAGTTTAGGGTATGTAATATAATAGTCTAACAATATGTTGCAATCTAACATATCATTGGTAAACAGCTCTAATGTTACTGCTCACGGTACGATAATTTGTTCTTTTTTTTAGCACTAATGAGTCAAGATATTGCTAATATAAAGCACTTCTATTACAAAGAATGCTAGCTAAGGAGTTAAAAATTTTGCATGGATGGCATCCAACTGAAAGTTCAACAGCTGATATACAGAACCACTAATGAACTAACATCATATAGCAGCTTATAGACAAAACTAGGGGTGGCTTTGAATTGAGTTTGCACGGAAATATTATAAAACTCAACTTGAAATCAAAGTACATTTCGAATTGAGCCAACTCAACTGATATGATTCAATTTTGAATCAAATAGAAATTAATTCAAGCCAGCTCAAAATCCAAAATTTTTAAACCAGGAGAAAATTTATTGGTTAAAGGTTTTGATATGTGATACCATTTCAACTGAATCACGTCCAAGAACCACTACAAACATTTACCTTCCTACCAATAACATGGAAGAAATTTATATTGATGCAATATTTCAAGTCAGCTCGAATCAATTTTCAAGCAAGGCACCCTAGGCTCAAAACTGCACCAAGTTTAGAATTTGACAAATAATTCAACATGAAATATTTTTAATTGAATTCGGATTTCGAGCAACATTTCCATCCCTAGACAGAACATGTCAAATCCTCCATTTTGAAGGCAGAAGCACTTCCACAAGAAATATGATAAGCCAAGCTAGACAAAAAAAAGCAGCATAAAAATCAAAAGGAGCATTTGTGTACCTACACATCGTACATTGACATAATTATTCATCTTTAATTCATTCCTAACTAATTAAGAATATTTTCAGATGTTAATTAATGCAAAAACGATCAACTATAATTCTTTAAAATTCATTAAATGTATCAATCCTTTGCCTCAGTTGTTTAGATAAGATTCAAATAATGTTCTAAATAGATTCATATGTACACGGAATAAATCTGTAAATTCGAAGTAGATTTAGATTGTTCTCCATAATCCCTATGGAATTCCGTAAGTAAATGTTTAAATCCATACAACTATCGAATGGTAGTTAATTGTGGCCAGGTGAACCAACCTAGTACTTCAAAATAAGAGCTAATAAGTTAAATGCATTATTTAACTAAATTAATGCAACACCGCAAATGATTTTATGGCAAACAGGAAATCAAATAAAAGCGGTTCATTCATATCCCTGAAAAATAAGATAGCTATGTTAATGCATCAAAATTTAACACATGGAAATCCATGTATATACTAAACAAAGCAAGAAGCGCAATTTAAAAGCAGTACCTGTTCAAAAGCAAACATAATATTTGCCCATTCTATGTCCCTTGTGATAAGCAAATTAGATCTTGCAAGAAGAGGTGCCAGTTTCACCTAAGGCACAAACGGCACAACAACTTAGTTGAGGTATAATACATTGAAAATTCAAACTAGTTTTCTTTTTTATGTGTGTGTCTGATTGGGGGAGGGAGGGTTGTTTAACACAAAATTGTGATATAAATGAATGAGAAAATAGAGAAAGCAAAATTAATCATCTTGCTTCCCCCTCCTAAAAAAAACCAAAATGCTATTGACTTGCACATTGTTGGCAATTTATGATATAATCCTTTAAAGCTTAAAAAAGGAGTAATCTTGAAGCAAAAAGAGATTAATTAATCCAATGTCAAATACTAATCAGTTACTTTATGAGTGCTAACTAACAATCTAACAAATCCACAAACATGAATCTCTAATTATGAATTCTTTAATGATTTAAAGACTATTATCAGATTTTAGCATATCATATAACCAATATTACATATCACTAATCAATCAAAACTATTTTAGCAATTTTAATAGAGCCTTCTTCATGAAAGATTCTTTCACAATGCTGCACCTAAATGTAGGTTATACTTATCTAGGTCTTCTAGAAAAAACCTCAGAGCAAGTCTTCCTCAATCGAACCTTCCAAACCTTTTCAGGTGAAAATAAAAAATCCCTTCTCATTCAATATCACACGTCTTGGATGACGACAAAAAAAACTTCATGAACCAATGCATCAGTTATCCAGCATTCACATTCAGGAAAGAATGAAGTATAATAAATGTACTAAATGTACTAGCCGTATGAGTAAGAGGTGTAAGATAAATAAATAAATGTATACCTCTTCAGGAGTTTGTGGATATAAAAAACCCTCCTCATATTGACTCAATGGTGGCTGCATAATAGAAGGTTCATTTGTTTGCCATCCTTGGTCAGCTGGAATTGATCTGCTAAAGAATGATTGCAGGAATGGAAATTTCAAAAAAGTATCAAGCGTAGGCTCCTTGGTTTCTACACGTTGTGCATATCTCCTTTTCCTTCTTCTCATTACATCTTTCCTTCTCTGTTCTTCAGCCCAACGCTTTGCCAACCACTCTCGGCTCACCGAATGCTCATGTCGTACAGAGTTCCCAATCTTATGGCCTATAGTTGAGGGTTTTTCAAGCAGATTCGGATGTAAACTAGAATCATGCTGCAACTTGAACATTCTGACTCCAGACATTGAGCGGGCAAGAAGGCCTATATCCTCACTTCCTAAGCACAGATGTCCAGTCAATGCGGTATAGCCATATCGATATATGTCATAATAACCTCCTCTATTCACAATCTTTTGAATGCCAGGTGAGTTATTCAAGCATCTTTCTACACCTCGGTGCCAAAATGAACCAACTCCAGTTATCCCAATGGCAAATCTAGCATGCATAGGGAATAAGCTCAGGTTCTTCAACCACTTCATTCAATCACCAAATGTTTTAATCTGCAAAGAGATGAAGCAACAATTACTTAGATAGCTTGTAAACAAGTATGAACAACGAAGACCTGTAATATGACAGACTAGTTAATAAACTCAAACCATGGAATTTAATATCTTCGAGAGCAGAAAAAACCATAAAACGTAGCCCTATTGAACAAAATAATACCTTTGAAACAAGAATAAATGCTCCATGCCCTAAACCATCACTCCTAGAAAATCTCACATAAAAAAATAATAATCAAAAGGCCATATAGCTCGGGCTTAAAAAAAATAACTTGAATACATGAAGAGGGCAAAAACAAGACATCCTCAACCAATTATGGCGCACAGATGCGTCACTCTCTTAAATCGTTAAAGAAAGGTTTGAAAATCTACCTAGTAACCGAATCAAAAGCCAGAAACGAAAAGAAAAGCGCATGGATCGAGTGAATGCAGAATAGAAAAGAACCTAAATTAGAATTGATCGAGGAAGCTATCACGGGTAAAGATGAGAGAACATCAAATGCGCGGCAGAGACTGAATTACTGAAACAGAGAGGCGACAAGAGCCCAAAGACAGCGCCGGCTCGTCTAACAGGATTCTGGAGGACGCAGAGTTGCTGACATCGCCATGAATGCGGGTCGGATTCGTCCCGCTCAATCGATGTTTCGCGGTCGATTCAACGAGCAGTCGGCAGGGCAAAGGAGCAGCAATTGCTGAAAAGAAAACATGCGGAGGAAATATTTAATTTACATGTCTCTAATAGGGCAAATTATTGGGTCAGGTGACCGAAGTCATCTCTTCGTTCGGTCGTCAATAAAAATGCGACATCTGTTAGGCTTTTTTTTAATTTAATATTAACGATTTATGTCTTGTCAGAGTTAGCGACCTGACCCGATAAACTTTTGAGCAATTGCCGCCCTATTTTTTCATTTTGAAAGCCGCGAAAGACACAAATAAAGACTGCTGTAGAAGAAAAAATGAGCCAGAAAATTGCAGAGAAGAAATGGACTGCTCAGCGAAGAGGGAGGTCGAAGAGGGAATGGAAGAGGGAGTGCATGAATCGGAAAGGATGCATGAATCTAATAGACGAAATTATTTGGTGCTGAGTTGGACTCAAATTAAATTTTGATATGTAGAGTCGTTTAATCATTTCCTTTTTTATTTTTTTTTATTTTTTTTATTTTTATTTATCATTTTTTTATTTATGTCTTGTCAACCTAATTGACCCGACCCGACCCAACTCACAATTTTTTTACTTTTTTGAAGAGGAGTTTAGGGTTCCCGCTCTATGTTAAGAAAAAAAGTTGCAAAATTTCTCAAATTCAAATATTTATGACTTCTAATACCTTCTCAAATAGAAAAAATGAGAAACAACGTTGCAATATTTTGCGAAGATGGAATGCTCATAGGACATAAAGGCTGAACGGAGGTATGCAAATGTTCAGGAATCGAAAGTAAATAGGATGGAACGCTGTAGGTTTCAACTTATTGGAAAAATTTCCACTTCATACCAAGCTGTTTTAAGGGTTTCCAAAGTTTTATAATTTTTCAAAGTTCTAAAACAAAGCATATCAATATTCAGTACAAGTGCATAAAAATGTGTAGAAAAAGTAAAAGAGCACTGCATATTTGCTACTGCGCTTTTACTGCGGATTGCAAATGTGCTCTTAATGTGCTTCCACTGTCTTTTCACTACGTTTTGCCAGTGCTTTCATTAAGTTTTTGCTGCCCTTTTGTTGCGCTTTTGCTAATATTTCACTTCGAATTCATTGTGCTTTAAATATGCTTTCACTGTGCTTTGCAGATCTAAAGCTCAGCGAAAGTGCAGGCGATCTGTAGTTTTATCATTTCACTATGATTTTGCTACGTTTTCACTAGGCTTTTGCTGCGCTTTTTTCTACACTTTCACGGTAGTTTTGTCATGCTTTTACTATGCTTTCGTTGCGCTTTTACTACACTTCTGCTGCGCTTTTATTATGGTTTACTTCATTTTACAAATTGTGTATAAAGATGAGAAAGAAACATATAATGCTTACTACACTTATGCCAATAATATTGGCTTTAGTGTGCATAAGGATCATCACAGTTAGTGGACAAATTTAATAAAAATAAAATCCATGAACTTTGTATGTTTCAAAACTGATTTCAAGAAGAAATTTGATTTGAATTCTGAACTGAAATATAAAAAATCAGAGACCATAACGGGTTGTCCATCTTTGGTTAGGTTTGCAGCTAATGAAGTTGAAAATTGGAATGTGACAAAATTTATTGAATCCAATAATCATGAATTAGCTAGGCAAGAAGGTGACACCTCCTGAGGTCGTGCAAGAATATTGATGATGAGAAAGCTTCAGTTTCAAAATCAATGACAGAAGCAACGATAAGAACCATTGATGCATTCTCCTATTTTGCAGAGGAAGTTGGAGGTATCGTGAATGTTGGATTCAATAAGAGTGATACATATAACTTTATTTAGAAGGAGAAAAGAGAAAAAATTAAATTTGGGGATACTAGTTCTTTGATTCAATTATTTAAAGATCGTCAAGTTGATAACAACATGTTTACATAGGACGTACAAATTGATAAACTTGATATATTGTTAAATTTTTTGGGGTTGATGGTATGGGTATGATATATTATAACTGCTTTGAAATTTTAGTTTTTTTTTTATACAAGCTATAGGAGAAATAAATATAATTTAGTTTGTGCACTATTTATCAGTGCTAATAATCATTGGCATAATATTTTACTGAGGGTGGCCTTTTATCAAAGGAGACAATTGAATCATTTACATGGTTATTTAGGATATTTATATGAAAAATGGGTGATAAACATCCAATGGTAATATTTACTAGTCAGGACCAAGTAATGGCTAGATCATAGAGATTGCATTACCTCACCCTCGTCATAGACTATGCCAATTGCATGTCTCTAAAATGGTTCTTGGAGCACTTCTTCAAATATTTTTGGTTTCTAATTTATTTACTACCCCCCCCCCTTATTATACATTTTTCTTCCCCCCCCCCCCCCCCCCCCCCAATCTAAGAAAATATGATCTTAAATCTAGCTAGTTAGAGGTATTTATGAAGAAGTGCTCCAAGAACCATATTTGTATAAGACCACGTAAAGTAATATTTGGTAATAAATTAAAAAAAAAATTTATAACAACAATTAAATTTAATGAACTAAGGACTCACTAATAGGAGAGGTACAACATCATTTAAGTAACCAAGTGGCTACTCCATAGCAAATTTGGTGGCAATTTTTTTAAATTCATGGATAAAAAATTCCCTAATACTCCTGACCCAATTAATAGATGAGAACTCATCTATATTACTTGATATAAACCAAAGCCTTCTTAGGGTTTTTAGGTTATTGAGATGAAAAAATAAATTATAAACTAAAAATATTATAGAAGTCCTTAATATAGTTGCTTGAATAATTGGCATGTTTAGTTCTACATTTCAATTTAATTTCAGTTGATAAAACTCCTATAAGTGGCTTGCTTTGACATATGATTTCAATACCTCTATTGGGCAAACCTATAAATAGTTTTTTGGTGAAATTGACTAAAGAAAGTACATGGAGAAATTGAAGCATGCAGAAAATTTATTTTAAGAAATCAAAATTGTGAGAAGAGACGCCTCATTAGATGTGAATATCAGCAAATGACCTTTTATAATGAAGCCTTTTTTAGAGATATCCTAGAATATTAACATCTCGTATATCATAGGCACATTTTACTGAATGGTGGCAACTTCAAAAACTGATGAATGTTCAAAGTCCTCAAAGTGTCCTAATCATCTTTGTGAATTATTTTGACAAATGATTTGTAAATATTTCAAAAGGTTGAAACATAGCAATGATAAATAATTGGACGAACATAAGGAGCCATCTATTAAAAATAAAGAAAAATACTAAGTGAACAAGAAGTAAAAGCAAAGAAACAGAAAGGCAGTGAAAGCACAATAAAAGTGCAGCAAAAACACAGTTATCTGTAATTCTATCATTTCATTGCGCTTTAACTGTTCTTTTGCTATGCTTTAATGCGCTTTCACTGTGCCTATACCCGATTTAATGCACTTTCACTATATTTCAATACACTTTCACTACGCTTTAATGCGCTTTCACAACGCTTAAATGTGCTTTCACTGAGATTTAATTCACTTTCGTAGTACTTTTACTGTGCTTCTCTTTATATTCACTTTAGATGTATTTTCTTTCTTAAATAAAAAAAGCACTGTGAAAGCGCAGTTAAAGCGCTGTGAAGCAAAGTAGATAATGTAAAAGGAAAGATTGGTGAAAAGGACAATTTAAAAATGTACCAAGATATTTTAAAGCAATGAAACCTAGTTTTGAAAACATGAGAAATCGATATACGAACTGATATCATGAAAGCAAAAGCATAGTGAAAGCACACTTAAAGTGAAGTGAAAATGAGGCTAAAATGAACAAAAATAACTAAAAAATTTTAAACTTATGTAACCTATTTTTAAAATGCAAAAAAAAAAGTTAATATATAACAAAAGCGCATCAAAGACGTAGCAAGTTCTTGTACATGTTTGTAAAGGAGACAAACTTTTGCAATGTTTGGAATACAAATGATTGAAAAGAACAACATCTTGAATACCGAATGAGAGAGCTTGAGCAATGAAAAATGCCAGGTGAAAAGTAAAAAAACCTAGCTTCGAGTCTTTTGAACTCCTGCGAATTCAAAATTTTTGGGTCATGTCGAACGTGCTGACAAAACATAAATATCCAAAATATCTAATCGAATATCCACTTGTCTCCTCCACGTGCCAAGATTTAATTAGAGTCTAGACGCAGAGCTATGTCCGAAATTTGCACCAAATAATTTCTCCTCTAATAGAGATAATGAGTGACATATATATATATATATATATATATATATATTATTTATCATTTTTATTTTTATAAAAATTATTTTTTGTAATGTGCGGGCCAAAATATCCATGGAATCCTTGGCAAAAAAATTGACGAAATTTTTGAATTTTTTTTAT